AGCATGGTCAGATTCTACTCACTGGGAAACATGAGAACATTTCAAACCATGACTCCTGCAGCTACCTTCGAATATCAACGCACGTCCTTTCGATAGTTGAAGGCCCAAGACATTGCTGCACCCACAGAAATATGATCTGCCTCGATCACTGTTGGTGACTTCAAATACATAAAGCTGTGTGTTATCTTCCATCGTGTGCAGTCGGCCATCACTCATCATCATGAGCCAGGCAAAGCCGTCAGCAGCACGGATTCCTCTGCAGGAGCAAGTCAGATTCACCAAGCTGCCGACTGACACTGGATCAGCCGGACTGACGACCACCGTGACATCTTTGGGAGCGTCTAGAGGACACATGGAACGATGAGAAAAGATAATTTGTCTTGCCAGCTGCTATCAATAATAAAATAATGTAATGTTACATGAAACATGGAGAGTCTTTGTCTCCTCTGCTGTCTTCACATCTTTCCCTTCATTCACAGGATAGCTGGCAGAGCAGGTGATGTTGAATCCATCATGTTGGTCTGTCAGAGTGAGGGTCTTCTGGATCTTAGTCGTGAAGGTCCGATCTGGGTTTTCCTCCATTGTGTTGGGAGGGTCTTGTTGGAGAGTCCAGGTGAGTTTAGGAGGGGAGTGTGGACAGGGAGCTGGAGCTGAGCAGGTTACAGTGACAGATTCGGCCTCCTTCAGATCACCTGGGATCTCAATGGTGGGGCTCCGAGGAGAATCTGTGGAGTTTTCATACATTAACAGATTTTATCATAAAATTAAAATAATACAGATTGGTCACAAATCTGTATTATTGTATTGCATATTATTCAAGTGTGTCATTAAATACCCTACAAATGAATAAAATTAAATATTGACTTAATCTTGAAATAGTAATTATAGTGACTTAAAGAGGCCATATCATGTCTTTGGAGTCCTCCCATTCATGTACGTGTTAAATAGATTGTGTGCATGGAAATGGTCTGCAAAGACTACAATCCTTTAAATTCCCTCCAGAGTGAGTTTCTCCCACAAATTCCCTGCCTGCCTGAAACGCCACAAATGTTTACTTCCGTAACATAGTGACATCACTAGTTCCAGGTAACCAATCAGAGCAGACAGGGCTCTGGTTTCAGACAGAGGGTGAAAAGAGGTGCTGCAGCACAGGCAGTATGAGAACAATAAAGAGCTTTTTGAACATTAAAGCATGGAGACATGTCACAGTAGAGACACTACATACTGACAGTATATGAAACGTGAGAATTTGTCAAAACATGTCAAATAAAATAAAACTATTCTAACAAGCGTATTTATAAAAGACTTAAAGATCCTTTAAGGTTTTGATTTGTGACGTGGAATAGGATACAATTCATTTATTTGTTTTTATTACCAAACACTTCAGTCATCGAGAACCAGATGTTTTTTTTGTCCTAATCCTTTGGTGTGGTTTTCAAATGTACTTTCCTATCAGCATGTTACGTTCTCTAAAAGTATAGATTGACTGACAGAAACAAACTTCTCTTACCTTTAACTTTTATTTGAAGAGGATCACAAGTTTCCGTTCTGCGTAATGGCCGGTTGTCGATCCTAAAGAGGTAGCTGCCTGTGTAACTTGTGATTACACTGGAAAATAGGGTCGAGCAATCTTTCTGACTCAGGTCTCCAGTAAGACTCATAGGATAGATATTTTCCATCATGTTGCCGTTGAAAACCACTTTACTTCCAAAGTAGTAATAATAATTAGATTTAATCCACAATCCGGACGTTGGTCCTGTACGGTCAAATGTCTCTTCTGCATTTATGCTGAAGTTACATGGGATCTGCAGACAGGATCCACTCAGTGCTTCCATCTCCTGAGGTGTGGTAACAAGAGGCTGAGCATGTTCAGGACAAGAAGCCAGAGCACCTGTGGAACAAATTCATGATAAGTTCACATACAAAAATCAGCATGAAGGGAATGTTTAGAAAAAATGATCAGACGGATATTTTCTTTGCAGTGAGGGAAGGAACAGCTTACCTGAAACAAAGAAGACACTCAGTAACATGATGGCTGCCATTTTCACACGCTGGTCCGCAGACACTTCTCATCTGGATTTAGAAACAGTGACAGTTCGGTTACTTCCCATTCGTCGTCAGGATAAAACCCTGAAGTACAATTAATCAACTAAATACTTAATAACTATCTATGGGTACTTCTACTCATTTTACTCAAGTAGTTTCTTTGTGTTGTACTTTTTACTGCACTACTTCTATTTGATGACCTAAGGATTTCAAAACCTGCGAGATGAAACAATGGACTGCAAATACAACAGCCAAACAGTATAAAAACTAAATAAAATTACCTGCAACTTCAATTTGAAATGCATTTTACATGTTACTGCATCATTAAGAATAATCTGAATACAGTATTTTACGTTTAGTATATGTTATTGATTGTACTTGTACTCTTTGACGTAAGTCAGATTTTAAATGCAGATTTAATCGTTTTAAAAGTATTTTTTTTTATTGTGGTATTAGTACTTTTAGGTTAAGGATCATTATAATATATAATACTTCTTCCCCTCACTGATTTCTTCCTTTAGACATTATACCCCATTTTGAATAGTTATATTCAATAATAATATCCGAACAAACAAACTCCTTTTATCAGACCCTATTTCTCTTATGATTGAACAGATGAACAAAATAACTATGTGGCTTAAAACACTATATTCAAATTCACTAAAAAGCAGTAAAATTATTCATCTTACCTCGGGGGAAATGGAGAAAACAAGGCGTTGAACCTTACAAAAGACTAAAAAACATACTTCCACATCGGTCGGGTAATACAAAAGGATGTTGTGAAACAAGGTTTAAAGCTTTTATAGCTGCTACACACCACATGAACCCTGTTTCTACAGAAACGAAAGCCCTTGAAACTACTCTTCCTGTTATTTTATCACACAAGCACAATAATGGACACACTATAGTGACGGATTACAAAATGTGTCTTTTTTTCATCTTTAACCCGATGTACTGGGTTTTGTCGTACTTACTGTCTGCCATGACATTTCATTTCATTTAAAATAAATATGTGACAAAATTCACATCAATAGGATGGCAACAAATTATTTTATAAATATGCTTTTATTCAATACCGGAAAACATACTTTGAAAAAAGCCTCAAACACTTATTTAGATATTTTTTTAACATCAACAAAATCCAGTTGGTCATGTACATACAGGATTGTTCAGCTGAACCTGTAACATGCAGCTTTCTCCTGCCTCACCTGGAGCCAAACGTTGGTTTTAACACTTTTTATTTAATAGGATGATATTTATTACAATATGAAATCTAAAAGGAATCACAAGGAGCCCAATGCTCAGTCTATCTCCCCTTCTTGAATTTGCCCGGCGTGGCTCCGGTCTTCTGCTTCTTCTTTGCAGATCCTTTAAGCTCAGGTTCCTTAAAGAAAAGCAGAACAAACAAATCTATTTAGGTTCATAGAAAATGCAACGATCCCATTGTTTTGGATTCACGCAGTCACTCTGATATTGTTCTGAATGTACCTTCCGCTTGGAGGACAGAGACCCGGTGACGCTGAAGAAAGAGTCGAGTCGTCCCTGAGTGCTGCCCTGTCGGCTCTTGGAGATCTTCTTACAGCCGTTACGGATCCTGTCCTCGCTGCACACAAATGCATCAATCGATAAATACAAATGCACATTATCGTTATCATCCTGAACTTTGAACACATTATTTCTCAGCAATAAACAAGCATTTAAACCAGCATTTAGAAGATGGTGACGAACACTCAGGTATGTGCTCTCAACCTGGGGCTGGATCATTTGGAGACTTCTTTTTTGGACGGATTTGCGATATGACTTTCAATATTATAGAGTATGCTTTTTTTTTTTTAAGATATCTTTTGGCCTTTATTAGAGATACCATTTTTAAAAAAAACATTATTCACGATAAGGGTGAAAAATATATCAAAGTGATCTTAGTTTGATTTTAAGAGGATCTATATTAAACGAGGACTTTTTAATTTAAGTCTTTAGAACACCGTTTGTAGGTCTGGACTTTAATAATTAATTTAGAAAGGTTTTTCAACATAACTGATATTGAATTAGTCATTTTTAAGATTTTCATCAAATGAAGATGGATGTTGCAGCTGCATCTAAACCACATATATGAGGGAAAAAGGCCATATGTTTAAGTGATGCTTGGACTAAAAACTCTGCCTCTGTGACTGGCAGTGCAGCCTAGTGGTCAGACGGTGTATACACAGCTGATCTGCTCATAATCATTGCAATAACACATGTCGTGATCATCATCAAAGCAACAAAACCCAATGAATCTCTGCTGGTTCACCTGAACTGTTTCTCGCTACACATGTACTGGATCAGCCCCTCCTCATCCGGCTCCCCCCACTTCAGATCCACAGTGGTACAATCCACCACTTCTGCATTTAAAAACAAAGCTCTGGCCTCTCTATACAGCCAGTCCTCTGGAGGGGGGTGCTTCTGCATGAAGGAAAAAAAGGACATAAACAATGAGAAACGAGAACTCATTCATTAAACTTCCTGGACTTATGGATGGTAGCAGACGTGGATTACCTTGGTGTCGATGTTTTCCAGGATCTCCTCAATGCTGCCGTGCTGCTTGATCAGATCGATGGCCCTCTTGGGACCGATTCCCTTGATGGTGCCACAGTAGTCACAGCCCAGAAGGATACACAGGTCTATGAACTACAGGAGGAGAGAGGTGGAGTTCATTCAAACATATCACCTGTGTACCTGGTCCAACGGTGGTTATATTCCCACAGTGCAAACTCCAAATAAAAAAAAATACATTTGTATTATGTACAAATTACTGCTGCAATATTTCTTTACCTGTTCATTGGTGAGGCCGATGTCCTGCAGGATGCGACTGAAGTGGAACTCCTGGATAGGAAGTTTCCTAAAAACAAATACATTTTGCGACGTTTTATCAAGTCCATAAAATAAATAAATTCTTATTACTATTGTTTGTGTTGCAACACTGGGCATATCATCTCCTCTTCAGGAACATCTGTGCTACAGAGGCTGAGAGCAGTGGGTATGAACGATGCAGTGACTGTGGGATGCAGGTGCTTACTTTGCTTCACTGGCGGTCATGTGTCTGAGCAGGATATTTGTCCCAAAGGTCAGCCCGTCCATATCCTCCGTTGCTGTTCCAAACACCTTCCCTGCTTTAACCAGAGCAGCACAGCTGGCCTCCGCCTCACACGGAGCCTACAGGACAAAACACATCCAATGATATTTCCAATGATGATTCCCTCAGACCTGTTCTGCTGCCGTTGATCTCTCTGACATCTCTCTGAGGGCTTAGAGTAAGTAGGAGGCATTTCACTGTACATTCACTTTAAATCTACTTCTTAATGTATCCAAATGTATGAAGCGTGAGAGGATTCAGATTCAGTTGTTAAGGCAGACAAAAATCTACTTTTTCTTTTTGGAAACCTGCCTATCGGGATAATAACCATGCACTTGCAAAAACCTCATGATGGGATATATTTTACAAGACTTATTGGAAAAGTCTCTTTTGATAGAAATCCAGTAAAAGTGAGAGTAGATCTTACCTCAACGTAGGGCACTCCCATCAGGGTCAGCAGCTTCTTGCACTCGTCGTTATGATGCTTGGTCACTTTTACCAGACGCCTGGTGAATTTGTCGATATTCTCTTGCTCCCCTGGGTCAAGACAAATCATTTATCAAATGAATCTCAACCATGTAAAAAAGCTTAAATATAAGTATAAAGACTGATGATGCTGGTTTACACCCCTGCTAATAACCAAATATACACACTGATTTTGATCCACCACATATTATGGCTGCTCAATTAATCGTATTTTAATCGCAATTACGATTATGGCTTTTAACGATTACGAAAACAACCTAATCGAAATAAAACGATTATTTTTTTTATTATTACTTTATTTTATTTTTTTAATAAAACAATTTTTGTATTGGTTTTTCAGTTGAATTATACTTAAAGTTCAGGGTAATCAACTGTTCAAAACATACTGTTAAAAAAACAATTCTCCAATGAATTGATGTTTTCAAAGTAAATGGATAATCGTTTTTAATAATCGTGAGATTATGATTTTTGCCATAATCGAGCAGCCCTACCACATATGACAAATTTTAAAGAAAGGGATACAAATATGAACTGTACCCATTTCCTGAGCTTGAGCGAGCTGCTTCTCAGCTTCCGCCCTCCTCTCCCCTCGCTTCTCCAACTAGGGGTGACAAGAAGAGCGAAGATAGAGTAAGAGAATGAGTTAACAAAAGACAGGATGTAGGGTTTTAATAAGCAAACGTAAATAACGATCTCAATAATACAGTGAGTGCAATTGTAGTTGCCCCCTTTTGATTACCAAATAGCTCTAACACATGTAAACAGCTGTAAAACGTTTACATGGCATGTACTGATCTCTCAGACAACAGGAAATCCGAGCTCATACTAACCTCTACTGACTTGAGCTGTGGGGGCTTTCCGTCAAACACGTACACAGGTTTGATTCCATATTCCAGCATGCGGATCGTCCGGTAGAACATTCCCATCAGGTGGCTGAGGAAACGAGGTGGCAGAAATGTTTCAGCATTGGGTCCAGATATGAGCTACGTCGTCTAGGATCAAGAAAATAACTACGGCCTCTTTAGTGTGTCTCCTATTACGACTTAATGTCTGTATTGTAGTGGCTTTACCTCGTCGTCTCGCCATCCTCATTCTGCAGTAGGTTCCCGTCCTGTCTCACAGCGATCAGGAACTGGTAGATACACATGGAGGCATCTATTGCAATTTTCCTACCTGCAAACGTTTAGAAAAGCAGTTAGCTAACTATAAGGCAAGTTTATAAGGCATTGTGATCTATGACATGGTTTCTATGCAAGCCTTCATTCACTATATAATGGCTCTTATTTCTGGAAGTGATTCATCCTCCATCTCTCATATCCCCATACCATCTGATACCACATTGATGCCAGGGGAGATCATTAAACTCATCTGATCTCTTTCACACTTCTAGTACAGTCATCAATAAGTAGGGAAAGGGACCTGTAACATTTACCAAAGTAGTTCTTGATGTCTTGCTCTTTGATGGCACCGGGGGCCTGATCAGCGATCAGTTTAGTAAGCCCGTGAATTCCCATTGTGTTTGGCTGAAGCTCAAACTGAAATCACAAAAATCTGAAAAACAATGTTTAATTATTATTCTGTTGTCACACACACGCAATTGAGGTCTTCCAGTGTTGTTTAGCATATAACATTACACGACTCTGCTTTTAAAGTGTACATGTTTACACGCGTCCTACTTTGACTGATGCATGCCGAATTAAAGATGATTCGAGGAAAAGCTATCATACGCTTGTTTATATGATTGTGGGTGACGGGGAAAGAAGGACATATTAAATATTCAGTTTTTGAGGGGGATTTGGTTTGCAGGACAGACCGTGTCATGGTGAGTAGCTTTGTCACACACAGCTTCAAAGCTGCAGCTGCTAGGCTAAATCATAATGAATGTCACAGGCATACTAATTGTACATGCTAGCAGGGGATAGCATTATTGTATCGTTGTACTTTAAACTTCCGATGAAGTTAATCAATTGTAATGTTTATTAACTCACCACGTAGCTTTTTCCCTCGAGTCTGTGAGCACTGTGGCGGGTCTCTTTCGCGGGAAATAAAATATCAGACATCGCCTATCAATCTATCGAGCTCGGCATCCTCAGAGACACTGAAGAAATGCGCATCGATTGTGCACGTTTGATTAACCAGGTCTGAGTTCTAGTGAGGAAGTACTGGAAGGGCATTCATTGGTTCATTGAGGTTGAAGGAAATCCGGTCAACACAGCATAATAACAGAGTCGCTTATTTTGAGGGTTCAAAAGGATTCAATTGTGTTTTTCGGTTACGTTATAGCAGTAAAATAAACCTGGTTAATGTCGAATGGCTCGTGAGAGGAACATTTCCCCGGCTGCGAATTACCGGTAAGGTCGGAGGTGTGTTTTTGTTTCTCCGCCCACTCCGGAAAACTCAACGGAGTCGTCGTTATTTTTATTTTTTAAGGTGACGTGGAGTCGAACCCCCTCTTCGACACTGGCTCATGTGTCAATAAAAGTACTTGATGTACCCGGATAGGATCGCCATGAATGCATAATACGTTGGGACATAGCACCGTGGTTTTCCAGGATGTTCCGCTGTAAATCTTTACATTGAGCATCGGCGCATACCGGAGCTGAGTCCACTGAGTCGGGCCTGAGACAGAGGAGACAGACGAGCGGACAGACAGGTTTGGACGGATCTGCAGCATTGGACCTGGAGTGACATAACTGTGATACTGGTATAGCAGATTTCTCCAACTACCACCCTGTAGTCATTTGAGTCGTCCATGCTTAAAATAAAAATCCAATATGCATATTTTGGATAACGCAATGTTGATTTAGATAAGTCGTTTGTTTTACACGAATCAGGGAGGCCCATCATTATAGTCTCATTCATTTGAGTGGAATCTGCTAAACAAATAGGAGGCCCACTGCGTTTTCTGGCACTCTAATAGTTGAGCTTATTGTAAATGTAGTATTAGAGAAAAGTCAATGTAGCAATCACTCACAACATTTCACTAAACAGAGTTGAAACAAGCATGGCTTTTTTAGTCCTCGGTTGCTGATGGAATTATTGGCCTAGCTAAAATTATTAATTGTGTAATCTAAAAACAGTCTTTTCAAATGTGATATTTTAATGGCTCTCCTGGCACTAAATAATTTAGGAGGTCTGCATGTGTCGTGCTGAAGAGTCATACCAGGAAACAGATTGAAACTGAAGAGTACACACACACAAGTGATCTGCCTCTTGAGACTTTCCTTCTGAACCTCAGGAGAGAATTCATCAGAGAGCTCGTCCACACTAGCAGAACTTCATATACCACTCTGGTTAGAAAAAAAAGCTAAATCATTATTTGCTGTGAAAAAACATGCCCACTATTTAGCAAGCAAATACACTCAAGTTTAAACTGGTAACAGCTGTCACCGTGCATTCCAACTTTTCCTCCTTGTTAACTTGTTAAAAGTCAGCATGGTGATCCAGAAGACGGAGTACAAGTTGTTATAATTGCGATTGAATTGCATTAAAACTGCACGCCACACAGACATCTCAGAAAGGTTGCATTGCCGTGACATTTGACCTGTAACGTGACATCAGTGCTGAGTATGGATTAACCTCTTAAATTCTATTATATATCAAAATACATGATCATTGCTTTTCTTTGTGAGGTTGAGGACAGGTTAATTATTGATTAATAATAATTTCAGATTATTGGTTTGAAATAGGAAGGTCTGTATTTGTATATAAGTTGTCAATGCTCATTTAGGGCTTTCAGAAAAGAAGAAATCCCCCTAGCATCACACTCGATTGTGGCATTATCGTTGCACTTTAAACATTTAATGCTACTAAGTATTTCCATGCAGTGTAAAACGATGTTTGAATTTGAGAACAACAGTATGCCGATGAATTCTGGGGAGACGCTTTTACTAAATAAATGATACTGGTCTGCAGAACAGCATCCTTGGGCTATGACACTTTGTGTATACTCTCGCAAAGTCATCACAGACAGAAACAAATTAACAGAGCTCATTTAATTCTAGTCATAAAATCCCCCATGACTATAAAACTGATGAAACTCATTGTAACACACAGTGTCTCACTGCTGTTAGCGTGTCTCTTGTTATCCATTTGTATTTGTTAGAACAGGTTGAAGTGACTTTGCACAAAACTCTCCCCTTGACACATAAATCACACGTCAGGTGTTAGTGGCATGGACACGACTTGACTTCTTGACTTTAAATGAGAGACATACTCTTAGTCTCAGGACGGATAAACAGCTGTTCCCATGAACTGATCCACTGTCCATCTTTGCACCAGGGGTTATGCGGTGTGGAATAGGACACCTGCCAGGGGGCTGCCAGAGGACGATGGGCCTGCACTGCGTCTTGATCCTGTGCTTGTTCTCAGGCTGGGCAGTGGGCTATAAACAGGGGGAGAACGTGACTCTCTATGTCAACAAAGTGGGTCCTTATCATAACCCCCAGGAGACATATCACTACTACACCCTGCCTGTTTGCAGACCGGAGAAGGTCAGTCTTTGTTCTGATTCGCTGTGTGCTGTTGTCTGCTGAAGCTCACAAAGAGAGATTATGTTGTCTATAACAGTTACGTCTCAGCATTTGTTGTAACATTTATCTGAAAGGTAGTGTTTCTCCACTAGGCCACGAGGGTCCAATTCAACTTGCAAAATGGCTTGGCTTAATGTTGCAAAATCTATGAACACATGATTTGAATACAGAATAAAAATGACCCTTTTACAGGTAGAAGAATTGGTAATATATGTTCAAATGTATTTATGACACAGTATAATATAGACTGAAATAAAAGGTATTATTTTATGCCATCTGTGATTTTATGTCGAGAGAATTTCACCTGGTTTAAGATTTAATTAATGTTGCATTGCTTAAGAGACATGTCCTTTCAGTCGTGTTATTTTTTAGTTATGTTTCCCTGCTTTAATTACCTCATCATAGCTTTTACATTTTGAAATCACTTATTCACAGAATTGTGACCAACTTGTGCTTTCTGCTGCTTTTTGTACCCTCTGTTACTCATGTTGTAACACTTCTTCTTCAGGTGCATCACAAGTCCCTGAGTCTGGGAGAAGTGTTGGATGGCGACAGGATGGCAGAGTCCTTATATTACATTCGATTCAGGGAGAACGTGGAGAAAAAGCCTCTTTGCACGCTCACACTTTCAGAAATACAGGTATGTTTGTGGACAGTTTGAACTTAATCCGTAAACTACCAGGCACCTTGTGTGAAGCTTAAATTCCCCCGGATCATAGTGTACTTATCTGTTTATGCTATTTAGTGCTTTTAATACTTATCATTGCTTAACATAGTGTGGGGTTAAATGCCGTGGCCTGTGAAACAAATGGGGTCTGATTATGGATATGTTTTGTGTGTCTCAGGTGGACGAACTTCGTGAGGCCATCGAGGAACTCTTTTACTTCGAGTTTGTCCTGGACGACATTCCAATCTTGGGCTTTGTGGGCTACATAGAGGAGAGCGGCTTCCTGCCCCACAGCCACAAGGTAAACCTCTTCCTGAGGGATTGTGGGATATGTAAATTCTATTTGGGATGCAAAGAGAAAGAAGGTGTACGGTTTCATCTTTAGGCAAAGTCCCGGTTTCATCTGAACCACACCTACTGTAATTATTTTTTTTTTAATCTCTCTCTCCCTCTTTCTCTTTGTTTACTCTCCTTTGTCTCCTCCCCTCCCCTCTCACCCCCTACAGGTGGGTTTGTGGACTCATCTAGACTTCAACATTGAGTACAATGGCGACACAGTGATATTTGCCAATGTATCAGTGAAAGACGTGAAACCTGTTCCCCTGGAGGAGGGCGTGGGTTCAGTGGGGGGAGTCGGGGTGGGAGGAGGCAGCCTGGTCGTCACCCACACGTACAGCGTGCGCTGGTTCGAGTCCCCTCTGCCTCACTCGAGGAGAGCCGAGCGTCTCAGAGATTACTCGTTCTTCCCCAAAACACTGGAGATCCACTGGCTCTCCATCATTAACTCGCTGGTGCTGGTGGTGCTGCTGCTGGGCTTCGTCATCATCATCCTCATGCGGGTCCTGAAGAATGACTTTGCCAGGTTAGTCGGGCCTATAAATGTGAGACTTTGTGTTTCATGTCTTTTTAAATATGGAAATTATACTATAGAAAAACACAAGGGAAAGAAGATAAAGACTGTAGGCTATTGAAAACATCTCAAATAGAGTTTCACAATCTTATACCAACAGAAAAAAAGTAACGTCATTTAGACAATTCTTAAATCTATTGGGAGGAAAAACATCATAGACAGTAAGGTGAATATTTTTTGCTTTTTGCAGTTTTTCTCTTGAGAATTTTAAAGACATTTATCATTTTTTTTGGACATTTTCAAGTAATAATTATATAATCAATTTATAATTTGTAAATACATTTGATAATTTGCTCAATTATAAAAAAATACTCAGCATGTGCAGCCCTTATTTGACTGTCTTTTGAGAAGGTAGTTCAAAGATTGATTTAAAAGTCTAAAAATAGCATTAAACTTTAAAGGCATACATTTTGGCTTTAAATACCTTTGACTCTCTTTTGGTCATAAGGCTGTAGATTTAACAAGTCTGAGTCCAAGGACAGGCTAGTTTAAATGTTGTATACGTTAGATTTCTATTACATTTCAATGAAAGAATTAGAACATTTTGTTCATGTATATTCACAGATAAATACGGATGATATTAAATATCCAGGATTATATTTTCAAATTGGAACAGTATCAAAAAATAGCAAACAGGAAATCAAATCTAACTCCAAGAATGGGAAATAACTCAAATCAAGCAGTCTAGGATCATTAGTTTCTTCCTCTATCTTCTCACTTAGTCCTCCTCATCTACTCCTGTACCTGAAAGCCTTCTCCCCTCACCTGCAGGTACAATGTGGAGGAGGAGGGCGGCTGTGATGATCTGGACCAGGGAGACAACGGCTGGAAGATCATCCACACTGACGTCTTCAGGTTTCCCCCTTACAAAAGCCTGCTGTGTGCCGTGCTGGGGGTGGGGGCTCAGTTCCTTACTCTTGCCACAGGTGGGCATTCATTCTCAAATACACCCAAACAGTATTAGGAGGATCATTGTTC